TCCTCCTCCTCCTCCTCCTTTGCCATCTCCTTGTCCCCCTTGGGTCCTTCGCTGCCGTTGCTGCTGCTGCTGCTTCTCTCTGTGGACATTGTTTCGCCCCGAGATCTACCTGTGATGGGCAAGTGATGAAGTGCATCTGTTTGTCTCTGCTTCTTGTCCATTTGGATTTCTGCATCCTGGTCAACCATGTTGTGTGTGCTGATGGGACTCTGTTATGGGGTATGAACCATGCATGTGAGGATCGTCGAGTGGATGATATGGCAGATTATTCTGGGTCGGCTTTTTCTTATGCATTTACATCATCAATCACAACGCCTAAGCAAACTTGCTGCGTACTGTCCCATGGTGTCTTTGCTATCCCTGTCTATTGCAGGCAAATGAACTGAGAGGAATTCTTCGTCTGCAGTACCCAATTGGTGAGCTGAGATTGTGAGTCTTTGATGATCATACAAACGGTATTCTGTTGTGTAGTGTTGGGGTTTGTGTCTTCTCCGTGTAGTTTCCCTGATCACAATTGGGATATGATGTGGACTTAACAGTGTGACAGGCATGCTCTGCACTCTTTGGAACTGTTTTGCTGGCAAGTGTTGGCACAACGGTGTAGTTGCCTGTTGAGCCAATCATTGGTCCTGTGGAACTGTTTTGCTGGCAAGTGTTGGCACAACAGTACTTCTACGGGTACGCTACAGTCAGGTCCATGTGTCGTCTTTGACAGTCCCTGGTTTTCCGGCATTGCTGGCAAGTGTTGGACTTAACAGAGTGACAGGCATGCTCTGCACTCTTTGGAACTGTTTTGCTGGCAAGTGTTGGCACACCGACGTAGTTGCCTGTTGAGCCAATCATTGGTCCTGTGGAACTGTTTTGGTGGCAAGTGTTGGCACAACAGTACTTCTACGGGTACGCTACAGTCAGGTCCATGTGTCGTCTCTGACAGTCTCTGACGCGGAATCCGATCCCACATTGCCCCTTTCTCTGCATCTGAAGCAGATAGGGGACGTTTTAGTGGAGATCGTGATTTCCTGCACCCTGTCTTGGATTTGGAATTCCCACATTGGAGGGAAGACCGGTGGGTCGTCGGCCTTCACTTCCAAGACTGCAGTCATCATTCCCACATGGGGGGACAAGAAGTCCGGCATTGGTAATATCCATTTGATGATTTTGTTTGCCGGGTATTGTCTTTCCAGTCTGTCTACCACCAGCCCATGGAATCCTAGCTGGATTCTGTCAAACTGGACCCAAAATCGTTCTTTTAACAGGGTCTGCTTGTGTGAAACCGAGAAGGATGGGTTGGGTCTTGCATTCGTTTGTTTCTTCCACTGTGTTATCGTGCAGATTGACCCGCTACAATTTCTCGATTTCATTTCTGCTGCGATCCTTGCGTGCTCTTCCGAATTGAAGATCACCATTACTGTTGTGCGGCCCAGGTTCATCAGTGAAAAGGACTCAGTTGGAGATTTCAATTTGTCTTCTTTTCTGATTGTTTCTGTTATCCACTTCCTTTTCTCTGCTGGCATCAGGTCCGCTCCATTTCTCGCAAAGTTGAAAACAACTGCGTGTTTCTCGTGAAATTCATCAAGTTCAGCTACTTTGCCGTCCGGATATTTCCAGATAATTGTTTCTTCTGCATTCCCTTCCTTCCGTGCTGTGCTGCTTCTTGATCACTCTTTCCCCTTGAACTAGTTTTTTCAATGATAAATTTCAAGGCTTCATTGTCGATGATCTTTGCTGATCCTCTGTTTGGCTGTGACGTGCGGCCATTTGCAGATGTCCCTTGGAGAGTTTGTTTAAAGGACCCTGGGGTCCCATTGGTCCCAGGGCTCCGCATTTCTGTCTCTCCTAGTGACAGCCTTGCTAGCGAGGTGTGTCACTTGATCGGACTCCGTGAGCTGGCTTTTCTAGTATGGATGCGGTCTGAATCTGTCTGACTGTGGTCTGAAAGGTTAGTAGGGAGATAGCCAACAGGAGGGGAAGAGAAGGTGGTTAGAATTGGTAGGGGGTGGGTCTGTGAACTCCAGTTCTGGGATCGTGATTGGTTTGTGCTAGACAACATTGTAATGGTCTGGGGATATTATGGGGGAAGGATCAGTGTGGCTATGTCGAAGGGACTGTCGAGGGGCTGGGGTGCGAGACAGGGTGCTACCAGTGATCTGGGGTCATCTCCTTCGATGGATCGCTGAGGAGAGAATCACTGTGGAGGGGTGTGTAATAGGGATTGCCCACGGGAGGGTGGGGTGTCAGGTGGAAGAGGTGGGTGGGAGCTGCTATGTCGTGCGTCGGGAGAGATTTTTCGGGGGAATGGGGAGGTTGGTCGCTTGTAGAGAAGCTTGGTCGGCGGGGGGGGGATTGTAATAGCTGGAGTATGTCACAGTGGCGGAGGGCAGGATCGGAGGGAAGAAATGGTTGGGCTTAGAGTGCTTTTATGGGGGAGGTATTTGCAGATGTGGGTCGGTAGTGGGGATTTGGGCGGGTGATGGGAGCGGAAATGGCCAGCTAAAGGGCGATTTGTACGGTGGGTGGCGTGGTTTCAAGTAAGCGAGTTTCGGAGAAGGATGTAGAAGAGGCGGGGGGGGGGGAAGAGATGAGGGGGGGGGGGTTCAGATTGCCAGGAATCGGGTGATCTTCTGGAAGAGGTGGGTGGGAGCTGTCTCTTATACACATCTAGATGTGTATAAGAGACAGCTGGTGTATGTCGCAGTGGTGGAGGGTAGGATCGGAGGGAAGAAAAGGTAGGGTATTTGCAGATGCGGGTCGGCAGTGGGGATTTGGGCGGGTGTTGAGAGTGGAAGGGGCGAAAAAGGAAGGAGGGTCGTCACGTTAGATGGAGCGCGCTAGTGACAATGATGTGCCATGGGGGGAGGTGGGTAGGGGAGGGAGCACTCGTTTGTTAGTAGGTTTATTTGTACGGAGTGGTGGGGAGAAGGTCGGGCGAGAAAGTCGGGTGATGGAATGATGGCGAGCAGTAAATCTCTCACAGTGTAAGACCGAATCTCTTGTCCTTTGTGTCTGATACCGTCACTTGCCGTTGCTTGATTCCTAGGATTGGCGATCTTCGKCGATCTTCGTCATATGCTGGTTGTCATTGCTTCGTCGTCTTCCGGCTGCTGTGTTTCCCCTCTGGACGCCTCTATTCCGAGCTACAGTCGCCCCCTTGGTTCCCGCCCAAGGGTCGGCCACCGGCCTGGAACAAAAGTTAGAGCTTCCTTGTCACATCCATTCTCTCCTTTGCTATTCCTGGCTTGCTTTGACTGCTATCCTCCGTCTTAGGTTTCTTTTGGACGGATTCAGGGTGGACATACCTTCGTTCTGATTCTAGGGAACTTGTATGCCTCAGTCCTTTCTCGAGTCGTCAACCTCGGAAAGTCATGAGTGCACGCGCTGCGCGCATGCACGTGGCACTCCTTTCGTGGCCAGATGGGCTATGGAGAGTCGGGGTCACTTCGCTGAAGTGGGGCGTGACGGCGCGCCGCGTTGTCACTTTCGAAATTGAACTTTTCGAACACACGCGGCGCCAACTCGGGCGCGTGTGTGAGAATTAGCGCACCGCTGCGGTAACCTTCGGCACTGGCGATTCTCTGTGAGAAGGGTTTTTAGCAATTGAGAATTTGAAACATGCCTTAATAGATCACACTGTCCTCAAAACTTGCAGGACCTGATAAAACTTCTATTGTAACCGATGACACTAGCAATTATGGGAAAGGCCCAGTGCTACAACAAGCAGAGGGTAAAAAGTTGAGACCCATCGAGAACATGTCTAAAAGGATGGCTTCTCATTTGAAGTCAGGTTTGACCATAAAACACTCCAATGGATCAAGACCCAGCCCACGCTGCCCGATCCGCTCATGCGCTGTATGTATGTGATTCATATATATCTTTGACTCCGCGCTGAATCATGCGTAAGTATGTGAAATGTGGTTGCTGATGCATTATCACGAAGGGCGGATTTCTTAGGTGCGCTAGTGACCGAGGTTGAGTTAGATCGGGCGTATTCGTCAGCAGATGGAGAGTTCTATTAGAAGGACTAGTCTCAGTGAAGTCATCAACATTTGAGCATGAAGGATAGAAAGGTGTGCAAACACTGCATGGGCTATCGAATGATAGAGGTTTTGCTGTTTCAGAGTAAGGAAGTGTCGATTTCACTAGTGAACGGTGGCAGGCTCAGAAACTGGGTTCAAAGCAGTGCTGGTCCCAGGATGGACCGGGGGACCTTTGACCGACCGGGAGCCATACCGGTACGATTGGGCGGTTCACTGGCCCGGCAGGCCCGCGGTTGGATTGGGCGCAGTCATTTTGTGGGGCGGTACGGGGGATTTTCGGGTGTCCCCGTCCCCGCCCAGCCTCTGGGAGGCCACCGCCAGCAGTTAAAAAATAAAACGGGCCCTACCGGACCCCGTTTTCGTTTGAGAACGCGCGGCCAATCTCCACCGCCGATCGGCGCAGATCGACGGTGGAGATCGGCCGCGCGTTTCCAAACGAAAACAGGGTCCAGTAGGCCCCCGTTTTCAAATTTGAAAACGTGTTTGATGTCGACCACAGATCTGCGGATCTGCAGCCGAAATCGGCCGCATTTTGAAATTTGGATCGCGTACCGTGCGCTGCCTCCGCCCCTCCGCCCCACGTGCCCGATGCTACAGCAAGAACACACGACGTTGACATCGCGCCTTTCTGCATGTGCGTCGACGTCGTGTGCTGCCACCAGGCAACCAGCGCCAGCGCCCCGTCTCCAGCCCGCCACTGACCTCTCTCTGCAGCTGCTCCCCCCCGCCAGCCCGCTTTCTCGCAACCGTCACCCATAGCCGCGAAGATACGTCCACCAGCGCCCCTCCTCTTCTTCTTCTTCTTCTTCTTCTTCTTTTTCTTCTTCTCGTCCACCTCCTCCTCCTCCCCCTCCTCTTCTTCTTCTTCTTCTTCTCCTCCTCCTCCTCCTCTTCCCTCCTCCTCCTCTTCTTCTTCTTCTCTTCCTCCTCCTTGTCCTCGTCCTCATCAACTCCTCGTCCATTCCTTCTTGTTCTCCTCCTCGTCCTCTTCTTCTTCATCTTTTTCCCTCCTCATCTTCTTCTTCTTCTTCTCCTCCTCCTCCTCCTCCTCCTCTTCTTCTTCTTCTTCTTCTTCTTCTTCTTCTTCTTCTTCTTCTTCTTCTTCTTCTTCTTCTTCTTCCTCCTCCTCGTCCTCATCATCTTTTTCCCTCCTCCTCCTCCTCTTCTTGTTCTCCTCGTCCTCTTCTTCTTCTTCTTTTTCCCTCCTCCTCCTCTTCTTGTTCTCCTCGTCCTCTTCTTCTTCTTCTTTTTCCCTCCTCCTCCTCTTCTCCTTGTCCTTGTCTTCTTCTTCTTCTTCTTCTTCTTCTTGTTCTTGTTCTTGTTCTTCTTCTTCTTCTTCTCCTCTGCTTCCCTCCCCGTTGAGCCAGAGCCATAGCCATAGTGAATTTTTGTTTTCATCTTTCGTATCTTCTTCTTCTTCTCGGGGCAGCAATCGGAAAAAAAAACTGTCCCCCCACCCCGAGGCCCACCCACCCAAAAAGAAATTCCTGACTTTGCAAGTTTTATTGCGGAATCCGACAGATCTCAATGAGCGCAATTGGATGCCGCAATGAGAAAAATAAAATAAAAACATTTGGCCATATTTTGGGGGCATCCGGTTTTGCCAGTTCACCCCCCCTGGACCGGTCCGGCTCCGGTTGGACCGGGGCAGGTGATCCGGCCGGTTGTCTTCTTCTTCTTCTTCTTCTCTGCTTCCCTCCCCGTTGAGCCAGAGCCAGAGCCATAGTGAATTTTTGTTTTGATCTTTCGTATCTTCTTCTTCTTCTCGGGGCAGCAATCGGAAAAAAAAACCGTCCCCCCACCCCCACACCCACCCACCCAAAAATCAATTCCTGACTTTGCAAGTTTTATTGCGGAATCCGACAGATCTCAATGAGCGCAGTTGGATGCCGCAATGAGAAAAATAAAATAAAAACATTTGGCCATATTTTGGGGGCATCCGGTTTTGCCTGTTCACCCCCCCTGGACCGGTCCGGTTCCGGTTGGACCGGGGCAGGTGATCCGGCCGGTTGCTGGCCCAGCCCTGGTTCAAAGATAAATATGACTTCAGAAAATCATCCTTTCCTGAAGCTAATGGACAGGGTGAGCAAATGAGCAGACTACTGTCTTCCCCCAAATAGAGCGTACTGTCATTGTAGCCGTATTTGGAGCACCTTTCAGTCCAGATGCAGCAAAAATGACTGTACGTTGTATTTGGGTGAAGATGGTAGTGCATCAGTTTTTCTGTGGCATACTGATCAGCTTGATTGGGATGTCAAACTGACTCAGATAGCTGGGATGTATGATAATGCTGTACGCTCAGCCACCTGGCGATCACATAATCAATTGCATTTGGGATGGAAGCCAAGAACGCCTCTGGACTTCTTGTTTCCAGACCTGCCAGACCCCAAACAGCAGTAAGCCCCTGCCCTGGAGTCTGAAAATATGAAGGAACAAACTGTAGAAAGAATTGCAGACATCTCATAGGGCAATGAAAGAGTCAGAAAATCAGCACAGACGGGTGTCCATGTTCGTGGTAGGAATTATCTCTTGGGTTGGAGCATCTGAGTTTACGCCAGAGCAGGATGTAACACAGTGGTTAGAGCAGGATGTAACACAGTGGTTAACTCCATCGTCTTTTGGGCCGTGGACTGTTTTAGGCATTGTAGGGAACGATCCTGAGGACCTTCTTATGTGATTGATTTGCCGCCACATCTTCCCACTTACCCTGTGTTCCACAACTCTTTCCTTATACACATAGCGATCAGTTTCCTTCTGGCTGTTCGATGCTAGCCCCATCCATGAGAGGAGGTCAAGTCGACGTTGATCTAATTGTGGAAAACAGGATGATCCCTGCGCACAAGCCAAGGGGGAGGGGAAGTCCACCCCAGCCGCAAGTACAGTTCCGAGTGGCATTTAAGGGTCATCTAGATCCTAAAGAAGATAGGTGGTTTACAAGAGACGAACTAATCAAGTCAAAACCTCAGGCGGTTCTACCTTACGAGAGGCCCTAAAAGGGAATTAAGGGCAAGATTAAGGGCTCCACAGAGGGCTTTGAACCTAAGGGGATGGGAATGCGAGGACTCATCCCTTGGTGAACCCTAAAAGGGGCCGCCTATAGAAAATATACCCGGCCGTAAGAGAAGGCCACGACTGCAAAAATATGCCTGCCCTGAGTGAAGGCCGGCATTTAAGAATTGCAGGGACCCCAGCCTTCGCAACTGACGGCTAGGCCCAACCTCTGAGTTAGTCGCAGAGGTTGGGGTCCACGCCTAGTCCCAGTCAGTTTTCAGATGCCCGAGCACGTCCTCCGGAAAGGAACATAAGGAAGGAGGCCGTGCCATTCCACACATTCGAAGGCAATGGCTGCAAGTGCTAGCTCTGTTAGAGCACACAGTGGGCCAGTGAGCGCTCATGCAAGGACGGAGGTGAGGAGCAGCCATGGTAAGCTGCTCCAACCAGCACCATGTATAGCTGCACTGGGAAAGGAAGAAGGATGGCGCTGTGACTGGGAGCTTGGGGAGAAGGACAGCGGTGGGGACTGGCGGTATTTACCTGCCATTCCTGGTGATGGCCAAGGAGCATACTAGAGGTGGTCAGACTCTGAAGCATTGCTCGGCAAGAGGATAGTGGACACAGCGAGAGTGTGTGAGGAAGAGAAGCAGAAGGTTTATTGAGAAAGTATAGGGGGTCACATCATGGTAGAGCTGCTACATTGTTGGTGCATTGATTATTGGAGGTGAGAAGTTAGGTTTTCTTTGTCAAGAGACTCCGATGCTCAGTGTGGAGGCGAGAAGTTAGTTTTTCTTTGTCAAGAGACTCCGATGTTCAGTGTGTCTTAATTTGGTGTGCTCTCGGCTTTGTAATTCTCCTTATGACTTTGCTTGCATATGCTTTTTCCTGCTCTAAGTCTTTTGCAGGTCCGGAAATTTTGAGTTCCTATTGATTGGTTCTTTTCACATCTGGTTCTCAATGATTAATTAGTAAATTGCCAGTGTACTGAATGCAGTTGATTTGTTGGATGGGTCACTATCAGCTTCCTCCAGGACACTTTCCATTTGCCTGAACGTAACAGGAACTTGTTCTTTCTGTGTGCATGATGTATTATTTACCTTGATTTGACTAAACATTGACAGAACATGGGATGGTGGTGGATTGGGATGGAATGGAGAGCATCTGGGCTCATCTCATTCATCAAGAGCTACGAATTCAGGTGCACTTTCATCGCTTTTCGTTTGCCTGACGTACACATCATTCTTCTCTTGCCAATCCGTGCATCCTGCACACTGCGGTTTTTATCCTGTGTTATGTGGTATTGCGGCTATTTCCCTCCCTGCTCTGCTTTCCCCTGCTCCAACAGTTTGAATGCCAAATGTTTCTGCTTGGACGTCAAAGGTTTTTGAATCTAGTCGCAGCAGCGCGAGTTATCTCCTTCTTAGCTTAACACAGGAGGAGCAGGACGACATATGTCCGAGTAGTCTCGGGAACACGTCTATGTTCAGAACTGAGTACAGATATGGGGACCTCATGCTTTGTCTTTACTCTTTAGTAAGTTGCCTGTCAATGTTTCGAAATCTGCATGTGAATTGTTGTAAAGGAGTTTTTTCTTTTCCCTTTCTAAATTCACGGAAGTTCGATCATTTTGAAAAGATTCACGCTGCAGACACCCAGTCCCGGTCCCAGGGTCCCGACAAGTCCCAAGTCCCAGAGCCGTCCAGTAGGGTAGGCTGTAGGGTCTAGAGGCCGCGAAGCGTCGTAGGTCGGTAGGTGTCTGTACCGAAGCGTCGTAGGTTGGTAGGAGTCTGTCCGATACCCGACGAGAAAAGTCCAGAAGCGTCCATTGCAGTCCGACAGTCCCAAGTCCAATTTTGCAGCATGTCCCAGGAAATTCCGGAAGCTACCGGACCGACAAAATGTTTGCAGCAGACAGACCGCGGCCGACCAATACGGGTCTGAAGCCAAGCCAAGCCAAGCCAGGCCAAGTCAAGCCAAGCCAAGCCAAGCCAAGCCAAGCCAGGCCAAGCCAAGCCAAGCCAGGCCAAGTCTATTCTTATATTTAGTTGCTACAGTGGAGCGGCTCAACACTTGTTCAGTTGCGAGATGCGGAAGTGCTGCTGCTGCTTGTGCGTTAAGGCAACTTGGGCACTGTGCGCCTGAAGAAGAACAGGGCGCTTGAGAGAGACTCCATAGCTAGACGTAGAGCAGGAGGACGGCGGCCATAGCCGCCGAGGTGTCAGCAACCTGAGTGGGTGTATCCAGGGTAACGATCCAGGGTAGAGAGAGAGAGAGAGAGAGAGAGAGAGAGAGAGAGAGAGAGAGAGAGAGAGAGAGAGAGAGAGAGAGNGAGAGAGAGAGAGAGAGAGAGAGAGAGAGAGAGAGAGAGAGAGGTAGAGTGAGTCAAGTAAAAGAGAGAGAGAGAAGGGAGAAGCCGTAGCCGCTATCTGGTTGAGACCCGTTGTGTGTGTGTGTGTGCGGCAGAGCCACTGGAGACACATTCTTATATATTGATAATAATATTGGAGACGGCATCTTCAAGTGTTTGTTGTATCTCGATTTGGCTTCTCACATGTGAACTCTCATGTGTTCGTGGATGTATGCGAAGTTGAACTTGACAAGTACTTGGCTCATTTCAAAGGCAATTGAATTGCAAGGAACCAAGGTGAAATCAGCAGAGAGCAAGTGACCAAGCCAAAGTTCTAGGGTCGAAAGTCGGTTCTAGAGCCTGAAGAAAGCCCCCAGACAGTCCTGAGGTCGCGTAGGCCTGGGGTCAATGGTCAAATCGAGGTGCCCAGGTTCTAGAGCAGATCGAGAAATCTCACCATCTGAGTAGTCAACCTGAGGCAAGCCAAATCAAGTCAATTCTATGGAAGCTGGGCTGGCCCCAGCTCATGCATTTATTCTATCTTGTGCTGTCTGGTGCTAGGAACACTGTTGCTCAAGCGCTAGCGCTCGGAGAAGGCAGATAATAGAGATACCGAGAGTGAGAGTAGCCATATCCAGCATGGAAGGTACACATGCAACATAGCTTTGGCATGAGAGAGAGTGAGGTCAGGAGTGATCATATACTGTGGAGAGAGAGAGAGAGAGAGAGAGAGAGAGAGAGAGAGAGAGAGAGAGAGAGAGAGAGAGAGAGAGAGAGAGAGAGAGAGAGAGAGAGATGATACGAGCAAGTAGGAAAGTTCATGCGAGGATTTACTTCTCACGACAAACATGGACCCTCCATGGCATCAGCACAAAGCTGCTCAACCCTTCTGCCTTACTGCTCATGTGATGCTTTCAGCCACTTTCTCCCATATTTGTATGCCTGAACTAGCTCCTACCCGTTCCCAATCTGCCTCAGTGTTGATCAAGATCAAGTCACGTCGTCCTGGTCTACGATCTGTGTGTGTGTGTGTGTGTGTGTGTGTGTGTGTGTGTGTATGTCACACACGCACAGAGAGAGAGAGAGAGAGAGAGAGAGAGAGAGAGA